CCGTTCGCAGGAATTCCGAAAGGAACCCGTGCCCGCGTCCCGAGGTGCGCGAGCAATATCGACCGTGATTTCGTGGAATCGGAGCCGGATTGCTTCGATTACGATTTTTCGCCGAGGCCGGGTCCTCTCCTCTCCTTTTTCGACACGTGTCTCTCCGCGCGGCGCGGCGGCGGCGAACGCGGCCCGGGGACCACTACGGCTTCTTTTTAGGTGAAGGCCAATCGAGAATCCTCCGAGCTGACGCTCGGAACGCGCGGATCTACTGGGTGTCCGGTAATTATTATTGTCCGCTCCTGTGTCTGACCATCGACCCTTTAGTTCCTGGTGGTGTCGCTTCGGAAACGCGTCTTTCGATGTGAAACTCGAACCAGTTGATTAGCCTGGAAGCTAACAATGTGAAGTTGATGCAGTGATTGGCAGCTGTGTTTTGATGACAGAATAGCAGTGTTTGTATTCATCTCTGTTAGCAATGACGAGATGGTTCACGTATGTTGTGGGAATAGATGTATTTGTGGATTTTAATTTTCAATTAGGGTTGTGGTGAGCGAACTGTTGAGGTAAATGTCTGTTTCAGGGTAGGAATATGGGTAGCTTGTTGTTTACTTTTCTGTAAGGGTTTCAGCAGGGAAGTGAAATTGAAGTGAGCTTGTTAGGTTGTCTTCAAATGTTTATTCTATCGAATTGCAGTCGATTTACGAATCCACTGTAAATGCGTAAGAGCCCGTAGTTATCGATCATTCAACCTCTAGAAGTCTTGTTCAAAGGATTTCTAGCGCGTCACTGGATGCTATCTAATGTGACGTTGCTCTGAACATTGTTTGCGCTCTTTAGCCGCCGTGCGCGTACTCTCGCCGCTTTGATTGGGTTGAACAGGTCGGGATCAAGTTCTTTGGACTCTCCTCTGGCGATCAAATTCGAGATCCAGCTGACGAACAGTCCTACTGCGAAGCTGATCACGGATCCGATCGGGCAGTACCACATGTAGGAGATGCGATAGAGGTAGAAGTACGAGTCGTCAGTTTCCCTGAAACGGAACGAGATCGCGGCAGTGAAAGACTGTTCAATGAAGATTACTTAATAATTACATTGAAAAATAACGAGGATAAAAACGAAATTAACGAACAAGTATTCTTCTAGCTAACCAAATCTTTCCTAAACAGTGATTCTGAAACGGTCAACGATAAAAAGAGAATAATACTCCAAAATTCAACCGTTTCACACGCTACAAACTTTCCAATATTTTACTCAGAAATATCAAACAACGTTTGTACACAATGTTATGTACCAAAATAAATAACGATGATCCACGAGTAGAAACTCTTAGCAGAAGTACAAGAAAATTCTGCTTGGTAGACGATATCTCTAGGTCAAATGCGACTCGGGGTTGAAACGGTTGAGCGAGCGAACAATCGCGAGTATACAAGATCGGCGAGTTAACTCGTCGTTTAGCAGGATGGGAATAGCGCAGGCTTGCTTACCGGTGGTCGAAACGCGAGTCGAGCGGTTCCATGTAATCGTAATACCCAGTAGCGTTGCATCCCGACACGGACACGTCCAATTTCGGAATCGGTGGTTTCGGTTGACCGAATCCCATCCACAGGGAGAAAATGAGACTGGTCAGCAGACCAATCACGGCCCCCTTTTGATTGCCCAACTCCGTAAACATGCCGAGAGTGAACAGGCCGAACACTGGCCCGCCAACGACACCGAAGATCGTCAGCGCCGCTTGAAGGAGCCCGCCAAGGTAACGTCCCATAAACGCCAGCGCTATGCAGGCCACGCCGACCACGAGGGCCAGGAGCTTGCTGACGATGATCGATCCGGTCGCGGTTATCTCCTTGCCGCTGTACACATTTCAATTATACAGGCCGTGTCTAAACATACAGCTTGAATCTCGGACCACCACCCTTTCGCGCGGTCGACTTCTCTCACGCCACTAACGCTAGAACCACCGAGCACCCTTGTTCTACGATATCTTCCTCAACCACGCTCGAAACTTGAGTTCCACTATTTACAATTTACTAGGAAGACACAAGAATTTAGAGAAATAGTACTTAATTCGCGTAGAAACAATGAAATCACACTGATGTTTTTTAATTCCATTCGAAACCTTCGATGCGATATCGTCAAGCATGGAGTTAACACGTTGGTTCCAGCGCGTTCACGGTAGCTCAAATAAAATTCAATTCTCGCCTGCTCTAAGGCACATCAGAAATTTCCAGCGTACAAAGACCTAAACCGTAGGCTGTCCGGCGTATCAACGTATCAACTTCGCGCTGGAAAGTATCAAGTTAGCCGCGAAACCGAGAAGTCGAAGTGTTCGAATGTCTCGTTGAAAGTAGACTCTGTCACAACCTCCTGCTCAAGGGTTAACAATCTAAAGCTACTTAAAACCGAGGAGGTTTCCGAGTTAGCTCCGAATCTCGTTCTGTCCAGCACGGGACGCCGCCGCCCACGTGCTGTGAGCCACCCTGTACGCCGCGGCTCGTTCGTATTCATCTATTCGTCTGGAACTCTAGACCCATCTGCTCACTATTCCTCTTTCCACCGGTATTAAACATTTAATTCCCTATGCCCCGATCCTCGTTCCTTCTCTTTCTCCCTTTCTCTCTTTCTCTCTCTCGCTCCTCGAGAGACTCCCTCTTCCCGCGCCCGTCGTCCGGAGTCCGAGACTCGGTAATTGACGAGCTGATCATAAGTTCAGTTCATTCCGCAATTTTACGACTCTCACCTTATACGGTAAAGGGGTTTGATAAAATCTTCGAGTATAACGGCGGCCAGGGAATTCACCGTGGCGGAGATAGTGCTCAGCCCGGCGCTGAAAATACCGGCTATGAACAGGCCGGGTATCCCCGGATATCCAGAGAGCATGTCCATCACGTAAAGCGGCATTAATTGATCGTTCGAGTTGATCCTTCCGATCGTTAACGGGTCACAGTCGCGGTATTTCGTGTAGATCGCCAGCCCGGAGAGGCAGAGGCCCAGGGACATCACCGAAGTCAGCGGCCAACTCCACCAGAGCGCGGCCTGAGCGCCGGCCACGTTCCTGGAACATACGGGGCACCGCGTGAATATACCGGATTTATCGGCGCTATTATTAGGCTGTTGTGTAAATTCAATCTGTTTATTGCTCGTTAATCCATTCGTGCCAACGGGACACATTTTCCAGCCGGGAAAAAGAACGCTCAGCCGCCGGGGCTTAAGACCATTTTAATTGCACAGTTTGTTGCCCCGCTCGGCTTTAAATTCCGCATCCCTTGTACGCGCTGCGTACAGCATGATTCAAGCGTAGCGTTGCGAGCTGGTTCCTCCGTTCTCCCTTTCTTTGTCTCCTTTTCGCATCCACACCGCGCGTGATTTTTCTCGCGTTCGGCGCATTTGCTTGGAATCTTCGGCACGAGTCTTTTCGCGTTCTATCGCGTCGCTGTCGGATGCCGCCGTAATGGCGACACCGAGCTTCGACGTCTATAATCGAAAGCTACCGTCGAATAATTGTACCATTGGAACGAGAGATTGACGCGCTTCTTTCTTTCCTGACGTTTAAGACTTCCTTAAGTAATCTAGTTCGTCGCGAACAAAATTTTAAGTTTAACAAATTCACCGCGAGGGGTTGAATCTTGCAATTTCAGTTATACACTGGTTCTTAATGTTCATCTCGGATTGAAATACATTTAAATGTATGTTCATTGGAAATGGTGATAGTTACTTTTCTTGTTCCCGTCCGAACGATTTATAGTTTATAATGAAAACAAAAAAACCTTCCGCCACCTCTGATATCGCGTATCGGCGGATTGTATAATCCGGCAGCGGCTAGCTAATGTCGCCGTTGCCTCCTGACGAGAGAGAAGATGCTAAAAGTCGCGTCGCGAGGCGGACAGGGACGACTTATCGAACGATCGCCTACCGTCGGAATGCACGCGAGATGCGTGATCCTGATAACGTCGCGCGGGGAAAATTCCTTCGTCTCTCCGTCGTCACGGTACTAGGAAGAGAACCCGCGACGACGACGATGTATCCTAGAAAGAACGCGACGGCGAACTCGATACAATGATCCTCTGAGGATTACAGCGCCGTCCAGCTGCGTTATCGCTACGATCATCGCTTCTTCCGCTCGTTCGGGACGAAAACCGAAGATTGAAATTAAATCGCGATTCCAGTCGGTAGATGTTCGTCTACCACCGACGGTTTGGCCGATGAATGCCGTTCCAATAGGTCAGTTTTCATCTTTTCTCATCTCTTTTTCGATACGACTATGCTATTCGTCGATATTGTTACACGTGACGAATGAAAATTATGAAGAATCTTGTATGCCAATGACTCGCCATACTTAGCCAAACTAAGTTAACACAGAAGTTTAAAGAGAGCAGCTATTGAGACTTTAATTGATTTACGATTCAGTTTGGGTATTACTAAATCAGTTTAATCATTTCTCAGTGAAACATTCGTTATATTTTTAATAACTGCGAAAAGAATAAATCCGGAATGGGTCATTTTGACCCGTTTAGTAGTTTTAGTGTTAAGTAGTAGTCATAGAGCTTAACGAAATGTAGAACTTTTCGAAGGAAGTGGATAGAAGTATAGAATCGTATCTTTCTCACGAGGTAAACGGCATTTTTAACTCAGTACAGAGATATAATGCCGCATTCAGTGATCTTTTATAAGAACGATAAACCCATTACGTCGAGTTAATCGGTAGTACAGCAAATAAACCAGTTCCATTTTATCGAATTGTTTATGCGGAATGCAATAATAGTAATAATATTAGGTTCTAATATTGTAACCAGCCTGTTTCGTAACGTTTTATGAAACAGAACATTTTTATAGTTTCTGTCCAATGGGAGCAACTTTCGAGAGCAGTTGCCACGGTTGCGATTGCTCGAAAGCAAAGTTTGGGAGCTGTTTTCAGTTGTAAGGGCGACAGATTCTATAATGAATGTCTGTTAAATACACAGCGCGAGTTGTTGCATAGTTATACTTTCGACGGTGAAACCTCGGTTGAAACTTAGAAGTGATTTAGATTAAAAAATAATAAACTTCAAACACCTTTTAACCCCTTGCTTTGCAATTTACCAGGTCTCGCCTATCTGGAACTATTCCATCGTCAACAATTCGCTATCAAAAGCAATTAAAAACAATCAAAAATTCTATATTCATCTCATACCTGCATTTACCCCAATATTAACAATCGACGATAGAAAAACAGTGTTTAACCCTTTGCACTCGGCAGTTTTTCATTAGAAATACTTTATCCATTGATGCCGAGATAAAGACGATATTTTGTGAAATTAACTCGAAAAGAATCACACGTACATCGAGGAACAAAGCTATGTTATCTCAATGTTTCTCAAATTGATGTATTATACGTGGTATAATATTAAATATCAAATTTTATAGTTTTACTGTATCAAGTGGCGAGTGAGAGTGCAAATGGATAACTTGACCACGAAGACATATAATGTCGTTCGCCGACTTCTGTTCGATATTTTTCGTTACGAGTGTGACACGGGTTATAAGATCAGGGGTTAACATCCTGCGCTCCGAGGAGTTAATTATGGCATATCGCGGGCCGCCGATAATTCGCGATATCTCGCGGGGACACGCACAAACGGGTAGAAAGTCGGCGGTGGGTACTCACCCGATGGTTAACATTCTCTGAACTTGAACTTGGTTGGCGCCGTACAAGGAGAGGTAGGTGAAGAAACCGCCAAATGTCAAGCTCCACCAGGTGTGTCGTACCGTTGGGTCCATTGAAATGCTGAATGAACGTACATGCCATTGTCAGTGCCGATACGGCTTGAATTCCTTGTAAAATGAATGTTACACGCTCGGATGGATTATTCGAAAGTGTGCTAACCGCATCGCACGCCTCGCGCTAACAATCGACCGGCGCGTTTACACCGATCCGCGGTGCAAACGGCCGACAGGGAACCGATTCAAGATCGAACCCGGGTTATATTCTGCTAATCGCTTTATCAGTACTGTTCGTTTGTCGATTAGAATCCAAATCGAGCGGAGTCATACGGTGAAAACGACCCTTAACGCGTTGTATGCCGTGGGGGTCACTGGTGATCCCCAATTAAATGAAATTATTATAATTCACTGAATTGAGCGGTGACTATTTGACATTTCTATATTGCAAATAGTATTATCTACTTTAGTGGCATTCAACAAGATAATCGTGTAATAATAACGTAATTCAATTTAATAATTTGATATTATAGCTTTTTTCGTTTCGTCCACTTTGCTCTGTGAAATTATATGGCATTCGGTGTGTTGACGCAAGTATAATAAGGTAACTTCGAATTCGTACTCTTCGCGAATCGTATTGTTCAAAAGTTACAAAGGGATGATTCATTTCTTGAGATTCTGGTCGAGTCCAAGTGAAAAGGAACAAAATTTCATTGACTTCGCGAGTGTGTTCGTATTCCTCTAGAAAGAAAAAGAAATACGATCTACTTCAGTTAAACAGTTAACTAAAGTTTCCCCTTTAAAATTCTAGTGTGCGAAATGTCCAATGTTTACTTATAAAAACGAACCGATTTCGAAATATAGAAGCTGAATGTAGAAAGGATTGTAGGCTAATCTCCGATTAAAAATTAACCCTTCGCACTCGAAAGGTGACACTCAATTGACTTAATACAACAAAATTATAGTCTTATACATAATATCACTACTAAAACTACCGTACGAGTCAAAATGACCCATTCTTGGTTTCTTCTTTCGCGATGATTAAAAAGATAACAAATATCTCTCCGACAAATTATTACAGAAATTGACTCAGCAATACGCAAACTGAACTGTAAATCAAGATCATAACAGACGCACTTGGTGTTTCTATACAGAAATGTCAAAAAGTCAACCTAATAACTGGTCTTAGTATTTACATGGTAGTTTATAATGTCTAATAACAATATCTATAGGATTAATTTCATTTTCATTACCTAAAATATAGGATTACGGCCGTCGCAAATAAAATAAAACAAAACACCTTCATTTCTCAATTTACGTACGCGTTCGCAGTGAATAAATGTTGAGCATTTCCACTGAAAAGCTTTCGAGTGCGAAGCGTTAAACGGACGATTATTGTTTACGGTGTGATTGTCGGTAGTCGCG